ATATGATTGGAGATATATTGTTGCGGCGTGCAGCCCGATCCAAAAGTATCCTCACAATACAGGCCCTCGGCCTAACTCAGTCAACAAAATCACATAAGCCACTCGGGCAACAATAAACATGATGCTCAGCCCAAAATATGATTGGAGATATATTGTTGCGGCGTGCAGCCCGATCCAAAAGTATCCTCACAATACAGGCCCTCGGCCTAACTCAGTCAACAAAATCACATAAGCCACTCGGGCAACAATAAACATGATGCTCAGCCCAAAATATGATTGGAGATATCATTTCAAGTATTAAAGCAAGTAAACTTGGCTGAGTTTTGAAAACAGTGAAAAAAATGCATGACTGAGTTCAAGTATAAAATCAAAACAGTGAGGAAATATCAGCAACCATCCCCGAAGGGGTTCAAATAGCTGGCACGAAGCCCAAATATGGCAATCACCAAGTCATGATGATAACAAATAAGTTTCAGTCAATTACACTGTAAAATCATCAATCGTATCCCCAAAGGTTCTCTACCCCACGCTCGCTATCCGGCGTGCAAGTCACCTCAATATAGCACTACGATGAGCAATCCGGGGTTTCAAACCCTCAGGATATCATATACAATCATTAATCACCTCGAACCAGCGAAATTTCTAGCTCGCGACGCCTTTGCCCCTCAAATCGGCCTCCACGCGCGTCGAATCTATCCAAAACCAGAACAAATACGTCACAATATGCTAAGGGAACAAAGCCCAAGCGAAAACAATCGAAAAATATCAAAAATACCTAAATTAGCAAAACCCGAGCCCCGTGCCCACTTCTCAAAACTTAGAAATTTTCACATCATTAGATTCCTTATCTCCTCACGAGGTCATACATACCAAAAGATCTCAAATCCGACCCCAATTGGTCCTTCAAATCCCCAAATCAAATTTCAAAATCCCAAGCCCTAGTTTCTTCCATTTTTGCTTAACTTCCATGAATTTCTAGGTGGATTTCGCAATAAAAATGAGTTTTAAGTTCAAAAATCTTACCTCCAATCGTTTCCCCTTGAATCCCTCTTTAATCTCCACCAAGAAGCTCTCAAAATGATCAACCATGGAGGAAAAATGACCCAAAATCACGGATGAAGTGACTTAAAACATTCAGCCCAGCACTGACCATTCCTTCATCGCGATCGCGGCACAAGCCTCGCGATCGCGAAGCACAAATCACCAGGCCCTCCAAATTACTCTACGCGAACGCGGTGAGGCCCACGTGAACACGATACTCAGAACTGCAAAACTACGCGAACGCAGATAAATCCACGTGAACGCGATGAACAAAGATCCTCAGACCCCAAATTCCTCTACGCGATCGCGATTGCACTCACGCGAACGCGATACATTGCATCCTAGCTTTCCGCAAATGCGAAGCCCCTATTGCGAACGCGAAGGCTAAATTCTTGGCCTTCCTCAGTCCTTCTACGCGATTGCGATTCACCCCACGCGATCGTGAAAGCTTAATTTCTGCAGCACCTGAACACAAAAATCTGCAACTTCAAAATACCAAAAATGGTCCGATTGACCATCCGAAACTCACCCGAGGCCCCCAGGATCTCAACCAAAAGCACCAACACATCCTAAAACTTCATTCAAACTTGTTCCAATCATCAAAACACCTCAAACAACACCAAATCCATCAATTTACATCGAATTCAAGCCTAAGTTCTTCTAAAACTTCCGAAACACGCATTTGATCAAAAACCCAACCAAATCACCTCCGAATGACCTGAAATTTTTCACACACATCACAAATGACATAACGAAACTACAACAACTCTCGAAATTCCATTCCGACCCTCGGATCAAAATCTCACCTATCAACCGGAATTTGCCAAAATACTAACTTTCCCAATTCAAGCCAAATCCTACACCGGACCTCCAAAACCAATTCCGATCACGCTCCTAAGTCATAAATCACCCAACGAAGCTAACCAAATCATAAAAACTCTGATCCGAGCTCATATACAAATAAGTCAACTCTTGGTCAAACCTTTCAAATTCAAAACTTTCAACTGAGACTCTTCTTTCAAATTCATTCCGATTTTCCTGAAAACCAAAACCAATGATCTACATCAGTCATAATACATTACACGGGGAAAGTCTTGCCCGAGAACTGGCGATCAAAGAGCAAAAGCTCAAAACGACTAGTCGGGTCGTTACAATAAGTAAGCAAAATAAATAGACGATCCAATCACAATCACACTCCAGTGAGCTAATGAAGTTCTCATTGTTAATGATAATTTCTTCTTCTTTAATTCTTTTACAATAAGCGAGCTAAAATACAAACTTTAATTCTTATTCAATAATAGAAGTTCGGTGAACATATAATTTGGATATAGTTTTGTTTCAGTTACCAGTTAAATGATTTATTTGAGTAGAAAGGTACCGAGAACTATCTAGATCTACCTAATCCTACCCCTAAAATAAGTTATGATGACGTTTAAGCTTAGACTACTAAGAGCCCATTTGGATTGGCTGAATTTAAGTAGATTTTAAGCACCAACTGCTTAAAAGCACTTTTTAAGTGCTGTAGCTGGTTTTATAAATAAGCAGTTACGTGTTTGGATAGAAGGGCTTAAGCTGAAAAAAATTGTTGAAGTGTTTGGTAAAAAGTGCTTATCAACTTTTTTTTTGTTAAAATGACTGAACTTTCCTCAATTCATTTTCAATATAAATGGATTAGATAAATTTTAAATTTGTTCTGCTTACATTTCTATATCAAATCAGTTTTCTAGGATTGAACTTTTTATTCCTTCCATCTTAAATGAATAGAAGCAAACGAAATGCAGTAGAAGCCACTGAAATGAAGAACTACAGTACTAAATACTTGAGTTTCCTAAATACTTGAGTTTCTTTGATGAAAAATGTATACTGCAACAAAATATATTCCATGCGACATTTAGCTCATATTAAAAAATAAAGATATATTTCAACTCTATGTTAGGGCACATATCGATAGAAATTACAACATGTTTCTTCAAACTAATTTTCTTGAGCATAAAGAATATGCCACATAAAAGAAGAAACAGAAAGATAGCATAGAAGGAAGGTAGAGACGAGATGGATAAATGACAGGAAAGGCGATGAACATGGAAGAAAGGAGTAGGATTAGGGCTTTTGTTTTGAAGGTTAATTTTGGAATTATTGAAAAGATAGGGGATAGGAAAGTAAATTATTTGGTCAAACATGGTTAGCTTTTAAGCCCAAAAATGATAAGTTGGGGAACTCCAACTTATGACTTTTAGCTTGTTTTGACTTAAAAGTCCAATAATTTTAAGCACTTTTTCGGTTGCCAAACACAAAACAAGCTAAAAAGGGCTTAAAGGCTAGTTTAACCAGCTTTTAAGCCCATCCAAACACCCTCTAAAAAGGTGCTTCCTGGTGTCATTATTTCCTAAAGATTGTTGAGAGAAATAGAAAATGTAGTTGAGTACTGCTAAGATTTAGGAAAATAAGAAATTGGGATTTCAAATAGTGGAAAAGTATACTTCCTATGCATAGGGGTAAAAATATAAATATAATAACTTTTAATGGGTTAACGAGTTAACATAAGAAAATTGAATAATTAGACGCCGAATCGATAAACTGTTAATCATAAAAAAATTAAACCGTTTACCAAATATTAATTCGGTAATCCGATACAAATAAATAATTTTGCGTTTGGATTATCGGTTACGGTTCCGATTTGAACCGCCCTAAGGACCGCAACTAAAATAGCTAAAAACACACGGACTATGGGTGTGTTTGGTATGAAGGAAAACATTTTCCATGGAAAATGTTTTCCTAGAAAATATTTTCATGGAAAATGAGTTGTTTTATCACTTATTTTCCCTTGTTTGGTTGGTGAGTGGTTTCTATTATTTGGTTAGAGAGTAGAAAATATATTTTATGCAACTCTCCTCACCCCTCTCCCCCCCTCCCCCTCCCCCTCCCCCCACCCCTTCCCCAAGTCTCTAAAAATTGACACAACCCAAAGGAACTAATGTGCTGCTTTACTTTTTTACGCAAAAATCACGAACTTTCGAACCCGTAAACTTCCAAACACATAAACCTCCGAAGTCATAACTTTGGAACTTGTAAAATTTCGAACCTGTAAACCGAAAGATGAAAACACTAAAACTGAAAATATATAAAGAAATATTTTATTTTCGGACGGGGGAGGGCAGGGGGGAGGGGTGTGCAAAAAAACAAAAAAATAAAAATTTAAAATTACAAAAAAAAAGTAAAAAGAAAACTATTTTTGTGTGTGTGTTGGGGTTGGGGTGCAGAAAAACGAAAAAGAAATAGAAATTTAAAATTATAAAAAAAAGTAAAAAAAGAAAACTGTTTTTTGTGGGTGGGGGTGGGGATGGGGGTGGGGTAGTGTGGTGGGTGCAGAAAAACGGAAAAAATAAAAATTTGAAATTACAAAAAAAAGGTTATTTTTTTTTTTGCGAGGGTGGGGTGAGGGGGATAGGGGTTGGGGTGAGTGGTGTGGGGGGGGGGGGAAGGAATAGGGTGGGGAAGATTGAGAAGGAGTTTTGGAAAATGTTTTCTCTTCTCTTAGTAAGGAAAATATTTTCCTCCAATTGGAGAAAAATGAGTTTATGAGGAAAATACGTTCCAAAATATTTAAGCCAACCAAACATGATAAAATTGGAAAAATGTTTTCCTTCCTACCAAACACACCCTAACTACGTAAAATCTCTAATTCCGCCTTCTAAAAATCTCTGTCGCCCGGAAACCGTCCCAAGACACAATCCTAGGGCCGGTTCTGGCGGGAGAATGTCGGAAAGTTCCTTAAATGAAATCTCCGGTCACCGGTCGGCAGATTTTCCGGCTTCAGTTACCGAAATCACCGGAAATGCTGATCTATTGACGGAGATTTTCCTCCGGATACCCCCAAAATCCCTTCTGCGGTCCCAAACCGTCTGTAAATACTGGTTTTCCCTTATTTCAAGCCAAAGTTTCCGTCGACTTCAGTGCCGGAGAAAACACAGTTCCGGCAAAGTTGACGGACTCTTTTTCTGCTGGTGGGTTTGTGGAAATGACCATTTGGAGTTCATCCCTTTCAACGGCATGCCTAAAAACCAAATGAGTATGATTCCTTTAGCATTCAAGAATCTTGCCACGTGTACAACTTCAAAGCTTCAATCTTTACATTCTTGTAGTGGATTGTTCTGTATTAACTTCAACTTGGGTGCTGAAAATCAAGTATGCTATGTTTATAATCCCAGTACAAATCAGCATAGGTTGATTCCACTTCCAAATACAAAGCCTTTTGAGATTGTGGTGATGAATATGGCTTTTGATCCAATTGTATCTGATAGTTATAGAATTGTATGTGTAATGAAATCAAATGGGGTTTATGAATTTTCTGTATATTCATCACAATCTGGAATTTGGAAAGATTCTAAGGAAATATTGGATATAAAGCAATTCTTTTTAGCTCAGGGTGTGTCCTTGAATGGCTGTATGCATTGGGTTAGTGAAGGTGGGTCCTTTTTAAGGTTCGATTTGGATTCTTTGTGCTTTAAAACTATGCCTAGCACTGTAATTCCTAATGGCTTGTTGAAAAGGAATATAAGGTATTTTGGGCAGTCTGGTGGACATTTGCATCTTATTGAGGTACAAGGTTTTAGTTCAATGAATTTTGAAGTTCTCGAGTTGGGGAGTGATTATCGTCAGTGGTTTGTAAAGTATCGTGTTGATCTTAGTGCTCTGCATATTGCATATCCACTGATGTTGAGTGAAGAACTTGATTCACTAGATGTGAATCGTCGAACGTGCAATGTTATATCTGTTATTGTTGATGACAAGGAACAGACATCAAGATTTTTGGTAAGCATGCCAGAAGTTATTATTGAATATGATGCTCGTCGAATGACTATCAAGGAGGTTGCTGATTTAGGGACAGCGAAGATCCCTGTCATGTGGGAAGATGTTTCGGTGTTTGAATGGTATGACACCCACCAATATGTTGAGACAATGGCTTGTGTCTGATACTGCTATGGCTTCTTTTATATAAGTTTACTTAAAGAAAAGAGCTGGTGATAGATGGACCTCATTCATGTATGCCAAATGATGTGGTCACTTATCACTGAAGACGCCTGCATATGATGTATGTGGTCTATTTGCTGCAAATAAATCTTGGGTTTTTTTTTCTGCTTAATAGCCTCATCGCATGGTACATCAGAGAATAGTATCTGTTGCAGTCTTAAGTTTTCTTTCGCGAAGAACAAAATTTGAAAGCTGTGGTTGCTCTCTTCATTTGTAAAGTACCTATGTTTGATAAACTACTAGTTCCCTGCTGGTGTAGTTGAAGTGTAAATGACTTAGTGTACATTGGCAATTTCAAGGTGGATTATGTATATGATTTATGATTTGCTTGCTGCATGTTCTGAGAGTTATTTTCTTTGATTGCATTCTTGCACTTCTTGAAAACTATGAATCTATTTCCACACAAGTTTCATGATGTCACTGATGATCCAAACAGAAAGGTGGCGATAAAGAAGAGAAATAAATTAAAGGGGGAATAGAATATTGAGGAAAATTTTCTTCTTTATCTCTGGTTTAAGAGGGGAAAGAAGAATGATCCTGTTCCCTTACCTACATCTCCATTAAAGAAACATTTCTGTTATCTTCCTTTGTTGAAACCACTAAAAGGAATAATTGGTTTCACTGTTTCCTTTCTTTTTATCCAAAGACAAATAGTCCAAGCGTGGTATATTGGAAATCGACAACCTTTGATCATGTAAAAGAGTTGCGCATTTACTTGAGAAGTAAAAACTTGATTGTGGTCATGAAGTGGCAGTTAGGGTGAGAGCCATGTTTTGCCCTATATTGTATCTTATGAATACCTTCCCATAGATTTTCTAGAGGAGTTTGGCAGAGATGATTACATTGGTAATCTATTGTCTTCTTTTTATTTTTCATCGTACTACACTTGTTGCTGATGACCTAACTGTTTAAGTGCGATCTCAAGTTTTCTGGCAGGGGATCCACCCTACTGTGTATAATCTGGTAATACAGCATTTTGGGTTTCTGGCTTCATTGATCTTCTATTCTTTATAGCTTCCATTCACAAATGCAGAAACCATTAAGTTGAATTGGTTTTGACTTGTGCAGAGGTAAAATATTCTACTCAAGTCACACAGGCAGTGTGATGTAGAGGATGTGGTCGTTACCTGTCTCTTACACCTATCAAATCGACCACAATGCCCTTGTTCAATGGAGAAAAAGATTTCCAATCTTGCCATAGATTCTGTATTCTCAAGGATTCATCTTCTGCAAACAAAGAAATGAATTATCTTGGAACATTAAGAAATTTGCTGCAATCTTAAGGAGAAGATCGGCCTAGAGTAGCCTAATCGATCTGTTGCATTTATCACATAAATTAACTAAAGGTGATTTTAGCCATAGCCATCCTTAGCAAGTACATTGTTAAGACTTTTTGTTTATTGCTGATTTGCTGTCTAGGTCACATTTCATGTTGCATCCAAAGGAAGTCAAAGATTGAGTTTGAGCTTTTCGATCAACACCCTTTAATTTACTTCCTGTTCATCTTCTCGAAACGTTGCAAGTATGGTTTTGGTGCCACAGCTGTAATTGTAACTTTATCTGTTGCAATTATCCTCAGTGCAACTGGTTTTAATACTAAGCTAAAGAATATGTTGTGGCAAATAAGTTCTATGACTTGGTACTATTTCTCCTTTTCTTCTTACCATATCCCAATCTTCCATGTGTGATGTAGGTGTACTTATCACCAATAATACAGAGGCAAAACAAGAAGTGAAATGATTTTTTGACCTCACTGCCATTATAATCTAAGGGGGCATTTGACATAGCATTTATTTGGTGAAAGATGACCTGGTGTTGGATTATATAGAATCTTGGAAGATGTATAGCTGTTTAAAATTTCTTTGTTGCTCATGATTCATTGCTTTGGTCAATGGCTGAAGTTCCATTGTTGGATAATGACTTAATTTTGCACCTAGCAGAGTTCTTTGGGATTTCATGCCTTGAAGAGAAAAATCTTAAAATTAAAGGTCTGACTTAGCCGTTGGTCACATGGAGTAAAAAGAAGTATGAGGTAGAGGTAGATCATTGGGAATTGATCCTGTTTACCTCGAAAATACGAGTAACAATTAAATTTGATTTGTGGTTTTAAAGATACGTGATTTAGTTCAATACCAATTAATAATCAAGAAGTATGAAGTAAAAATGAAAGAGAAAAGTGAATCGCTCAGCAACAGTGACCTCGAGCTCAGGGACCTCGAGGTAAGCTTGATATAATAAGAACAATAATAAAAGCAAAGTAAGAACAATAGAGCTAAAGGACAATGCTGAGGAAAAGCAGGCGAAAAAGATACAGTATATTCTTTTCTCAGTGATCAGATGATATTACAAATCATTGGGGTCCCCTTTATATAATAGGGGAACCGCCAAATAAGGAATATTTCTATTTACAGTAGGGAATATTCTTGATACAACTGTCTAACCGCCTAGTACGTAATTGTACAACCTTATTCTGGGATTTGCGCCATGACTTTGGGGACGTGGTAGGAATTGATCCTGTTTACCTCAAAAATACGAGTAACAATACGTGATTTAGTTCAATACCAATTAATAATCAAGAAGTATGAAGTAAAAATGAAAGAGAAAAGTGAATCAAACCAATGTTACTCAGCAACAGTGACCTCGAGCTTAGGGACCTCGAGGTAAGCTTGATATAATAAGAACAATAATAAAAACAAAGTAAGAACAATAGAGCTAAATGAAAATATTGAGGAAAAACATGCGAAAAAGGTAGAGTATATTCTTTTCTCAATGATCAGATGATGTTACAAATGATTGGGGTCCCCTTTATATAATAGGGGAACCCCCAAATAAGGAATATTTCTATTTACAGTAGGAAATATTCTTGATACAGCTGTCTAACCGCCTAGTACGGAATTGTACAACCTTATTCAGGGATTTGCGCTATGATTTTGGGGACGTGGCAGGAATCTAACTCATCCTGGTACAGATCCACAACGGTACTATTCCAGGGTCGAGCATACTTGGCCCCGATACTCTTCGCACTCCCATCCCCGGGCATCGCACTTTGACTTCGAGCTCAGGTCTGGTCAGCCGTTCTCGAACTGGACCGTGCCCGGACTTGGGCCTACAAATCGGAGGCATACGATTTTGACCGTATACAAATAGTCCCCGCGTTTCTTAGAGTTTGATGATAAGAAACGATTTGATCCTCGTTTTCCCGAAGTCTTTAATGATGACGTCCTTCGCGTGACACAGGCATTCGAAGTGACTGAAACGTCCCGTCGGTTCACTTCCCCAAAACATTGAATGCACGCCAGAATTGGTCGGCCTCTAGTGTCGCCGAACCGTCGTTGCCCTCCTATAAATATGAGGCTATTCCTTTGAGTAAAGAACTTTGCTCTCTTTTTACATCTTTCTTTTCCTCATCTCTTTCTCTTAATCATCTGTTTCCACCGCCTCTTTAAGCGCCGGAAAACGTCAAGTTCTTGTAAAAAACACCACATTCTGATACAACCTATATTCTTTAGCTTAAAGTCATGGCTAGAACGTCCAAAACGGTCTCCAAAAAGGATAAAGCGTCATCTTCTTCTACCTCCCGGCCAGCCAAACCGGTGGTGCCGCCAACTCTTGAGGAGATCACCCCCGGCCCTTGTGTGTAAGAAGGACTTTAGCATTAAAAATCCCCCCGATGTCCCAGGCCGATGCGAACATGCATCTCGATATCTTAGTTTGATATCGGAGAAGCATCTTGAAGATGTGAGGAAGGACTGCGGCTGGGGAGATGAGGTCGTGGTTCAGATCCCAAGCCCCGGAGAAAGCATTACTTCCCACGTGGAGGGTTTTTTAAGTGTTTACACTTACCCCTTCACGCTGGGTCCCCTCGATCCAGTGGTGATTGACTTCTACAAAACATACGAAGTCACCCTCACCCAGATTCACCCCTCTTTTTGGCGTATCGTGATCATGCTGCGCTACTTTTCTGAAAAGGCCGAGGGGTTGGAATTTACCCTCAGCCACCTGATTCGATTATATCGGCCCCAGCTATTTCGAGGGCTTATCAAGATGCAACGTCGAACAACGAAAGCCCTCTTTGCCAGTACTAAAGAAACCAAAGATCGAGGTTGGATGAGCCGGTTCATCAGAGTAAGGACTTTGGATGTCCTCCCCAGGGACAAAATGCCGTTCCCGGAGAGGTGGAACTTTAATTGTAAGTGAAGTTCTTTTTCCTGGAATCTATTCATACTTCGGTTTCACATTTCATAATGCTTTTACCTTTCTTTTGGCAGCCACTGCCTGGGCGCCCTACGCGGTGCCGGACCTCGAGGATTGGTTCCGGAAATTAGCTGCCACCTCCTCCTACGATGAGCGCAAGTGGCGTGAATTATCGAAGGGCCAGTGGGAGGCCAAGAATCACGCTAAGTGCTTTTCCCGAGTTTCAAATACTTCTCATATATTGGTGGCATCAACTTATTCACGTTTACTTACGCAAGCCTCGGAGATGCATCCGAGATGAGGCCGGCCCCACCCGGGGAAGGGACCAAGTCTTCAATCTCGAAGTCTGAGAAAGACAAAAAAAGAAAAACGGTTTCGAAGCCTGAAGACCCCCAAGATAGGAAAACCCCTGCTCGAAGGCTGCGGAAGAGGTTTGCTCAAACAGGCGCAGATTCGGCCCACTGTTCCTCAGATGATGAAGAAAATGACGGTGAAGAGTCGGCGCTGGTGCCTCGATCCAGGAAACCCATCGAGGCCGCCAAGCCCTCCGAACTAGAGACCTCATCTTGTAGTGAGGGAACCCCAGAGAAAGATGTGGGTAAGGCCCCCGTGTCCCTGGAGGTTGAGATCGTTCCTCCGCCTTCAACAAATATACCGGAGGGGGCAAATGCGGAGACCTCCGGCGCTAACGAGAATGCCCCGAGTGACGAGCTCGGAGCCATGACAACAGGTCACTCCCTTTCTTTGCCAACTTATTCCGAGGAGGCAATAGAAGAAGCTAATGCCCTGCGTATGCCCGATCCAAACAAGGTCCTTGAAAAAAATCCCTTTCAGGGTTGCTTTGCAGGGGTCGATGATACTGCCGACCTTAACGATGCATCCACCCTCTTCGAAGAGGCCCAACATCTCCTCTCTCGAGTAAACACTTACTTTCATTTTCGTATTCTTCTCTTTCTTTCTTTTCCTTCGACTGATATATCTTCATTTCACGTATAGGCGTTTAGAGCTGAGCTGGGCCAATGTGAGGCCGAGCTCAAGAAAGTTTCGGGCGAAGAGAAGGCGCCAAGCTAGATGAGTAGGTAGCCATGATATTAACAGGGTACGGTCTTCTTGGCCCTATTTCGGAGGCTAACACTTCGATATCTCAGCTGCAGCAAAAGTTGGCGATGATTGGGCAGATTCAGAGCGAGGTTGATCAAGTTAAAGCTGATTGCCATAGGTGAAAGAAGAACATGGATCGACTCGCTGCCGATAAGGAAGCTGTTACAGCCCAACTGGCCTCGGCTGAAACTCAGCTTCAAGGCATTAAAGCGAAGGGTCTGGCTCAAGCCAAGAAGATTTAGGAGTTAGAGGCAGAGCTCACTAGAGCTCGGGCTGAAGCCGTGTAGGCTAAGGCTGAAGCTGAGAAGACAAAGGCTGCGGCCGATAAATCCACTGCCATGTACTTAAGGGACGTCGCGGCCGTTCAAGCTGAGTTGAGGGAGGCCTCCGACTGGGAAAAACGGAGTAATGACTTGGCCAAGTGCCAGGCCCGTAGAGAGACTCTCGAAGAAATCCATGCCCGAGGGTTCAACCTTGCCGAGGAGATAGCCGAGGCAAAGGCGCGGGAAGCCGATGCCAGGTTTCTTGCCTCTTCCGATGATGAGGATGTAGAGAGTGGCTCCGGGGACGGGGAAGGTGAAGAAGATGTTCCCCAGGGAGAAGAGGCTCCTGAAGATAGAGCTGCCGAAGATGCAGTTCCTGAGGATGGCACTCCCGGGGATATGACCCCGAAAATAGATTAGGTTCTCTTTTTCTTTTCTGTGCAAGGGCCCCATGCGGGCATTGTAAACATGTTTTGTAAAGTATCTTTCGCTCTATCCTCAACTTGTGTTGAATTTGTTTTCATTTGTGGAAGAATTTGATAATTCAAACAATGGGTCCGAGTATTGATTCGGATTCAGAACATTAGAAACCCTTAGGTTTTTATCGAAAGATATAATAATCCTCGGGCTAAGTTTAAATCAATCCTATGTGAGCTCGGGATATAGTGACTCTTGAGTTTGGGTCGAGTGAGAACGGAGTCTCGAACTATAAGTTTTGGCCCTTAAGCCTTTCGAAGTTGGCCCTTGGGCTCTTATAAATCGGCCCTTAAGCTCTTTAAGTTGGGCCGATTTGGCCTCTAGAATGGCTATATAATTTTTCCCTCATTTCGGCTAAAAGACTTAGTGAGAATTTAATTATGCCTTAGCATGTGTTTTTTTACCCGTTGGTTTTTTCGAAGGTTCGACGTATCGTGACCT